TCTAAAAGGAAGATCAGGTCTATCTATCATTCATAAATATAATAGCTCAGATGGCAGTTGGCTAGCTTATTATGAGGAAGCATCCTTGATATGGAAAGGCATAATGTCCAGATACAAAAGTACTCTGGGGCTTGTAAAGTGTATTCATCTGTCGAGTAACCGATTAACGGGGGACATTCCTACGGAAATCACTGATCTTGTGGGGTTGGTTTCCTTAAACCTGTCAAGAAACAATTTAACAGGTCAAATAACTCCAATGATCGGGAAATTGAAGTCCTTACAGTCCCTTGATCTGTCAAGAAACCACATATATGGCGGAATACCAACAAGCCTTTTTCAAATATATGGTCTTGGTGATTTGGACTTGTCAAACAACAACCTGTCCGGAAAAATTCCAATGGGGACTCAACTCCAAACCTATGATCCTTCTAATTTTGCTGGAAATCCTTTGCTTTGTGGAATTCCACTTCAACAGTTGTGCTCTCCTGAGGAAACAAGTCCAGAGGAGCAACCAATGTTTGGGGATCAAGTTAAAGAAAATGATGGGCTTATAACAACAGGATTTTACTTGAGTTTGGCGCTTGGTTTTGTTGTTGGATTTTGGGGAGTTTGTGGGAGTTTGATATTCATCAGGTCATGGAGATACACATATTACAAGTTTTTGAATTGTGTGTACGATTGGCTTTATGTGAGGGTGGCGTTTATCGGGCGACGAAGAACGATTGATGGGTAAACTGTATGTACTCTTCCACATAATGAATAATATTATTGCAGTTTTGAGTCTCTAAATTATGACTAATACATGGTGTGGTTTTTTTAATCTTTTTAGCTCGTGTATCTACCGTTGGTAAGCAATGCTCCCTTTAAACTGGAGAAGAAGGAGATTGAAGAGTGCAATTTGAAGTTATAATTTAGTGGAAGTGTTTCAATTACATCGACCCTCCCGCTAGTATATCAATTTCAGGGACTATTTGAAATAAAAACCCTTACTTATTTTCTGTGTTTTTAGTTAAGCTATGTCCTGTTGCATTTTCATGTTTGTGAATTGAGTAACGAGGTCATCTGCTAGGAATGAATTAGACTTGAGGATTCTGAACACTGTTGTGCCTGAAAAATTTGGAAGAATGACCAAAATTTAGATCTTATATAAAATTATAATTAATGATAATAATAATCAAAATTTGATATAAAAGTACTTATATACCCTTAGTCCTTAATGACCACCACTCCCCAAATCTCACGACTTCACCATCAATCCAAAGGCCGCTGTCGTTTCCACCCTTCCACCACCCCCCCCCTTGAAATACCCAGATCCCCATTTCAAAGGGTAAAGTCTTTTGAATGAGTAGTCCTCTTGATAAATTCTGAGGGTAAATGTCAAAGTTTTGGCAAAAAATAGGTTTGTGGTAGCCACACAGTTGCTGTGTGAGCTACCACTTCTTCAAAATCATCATTATTACGATCAAAGCCATTTTTCGGTTTGTTCATCGGACGATTCTTAAATCTTAATAGAATCCCATCTTTCCTTATTTTCTATGTTTTTAGTTAAGCTATGTCCTGTTGCGCATTTTCATGTTTGTGAATTGAGTAACGAAGTCATCTACTAGGAATGAATTAGACTTGAGGATTCTGAACACTGTTGTGCTTGAGAAATTTGAAAGGATAACCAAAATTTAGACTTCATATAGAATTATGACCACTCTCGTGAATTTATGATAATAATAAATAAAATTTGATATAAAAGTACATACCCTTAGTCCTTAATGACCACCACTCCCAAATCTCACAATTTCACCGTCAATCCAAAGGCCACTGTCATTTCCACTGCTAAACCACCCTTCCGCCACCCCCCCCCTCTGAAATACCCAGATCCCCATTTCCCATCACTTTCCTGCCTATTCTCTTTCTGTTCATCCCCCTTGGGGAGAGGGTACGGAAAATAGATGAAAAGGCTGCTTCTTTTTATATTCAATAAAAATAAGAACTAAAAGGAAAAATCCTTGCTTTCCGTTAATGGCAGAAGATTTGGGATTGGGATGGTGCTTTTTGTTCTGTAATGGATTAACTTTCTCCATCCTCCTTCGACCCCTCACTTCTCAGCTGCAACCAGACTGCTTCAGCTCACAGAATTCTGAGTTCTTACAACACAAAAGTGATAAAAACTTTAAAAAATAACCTTTGTAAAAAACGAAAGGGAACACTTTAAATGTTCGGCCGAGGAAAATTTGTTTTATTTTAGGATAATGTTAGGGAGACCGGACTTTTAAACAAAATTTGCAAACCAAATGATGTGTCACCAATAAGTTAATTCACACTTAATTAATAATTCAATCATCAACAATCAAATCATTTGCTTTACAAAACTTGGTCTCGCTAGTTCCTAGCATTACTCTTTATTTAATTTTGTGTTTTGGTTCTTCTCAAAACCTCATTTAAGGGTATATTAGTACTTTCATATTATTTTTTTGTTATAATTATCATAAACTTAAAAATGTGGCCATAATTCTATATGATGTTCAAATTTTGGTAATTTTTCCAAATCTCCCGGTGTGCCTAGGCTGGATCCATTCTTTGCTAATATAATACACACTGAAGGAAACACACATGTTGCTTTTGATTAGGTTGAAATGTGGAGAGTTCTTGCTGGTGCTCATTGGTCATGTAAATGGGAGGGATAGGCCACCGTTGGCAACTGTACATGAGGACATAAGACGTCTTTTGGGTGAGAAATCTGCTTCCTTGATATGGGCAGCCAGTCAGTTTGGTTCGACTCTTGATCCTGAGCAGAGACTAACTGCACTTCACATCCAAGCTCGTCGCGTGATAGAGTCCTTCGATCTGTACTGAATCTGAACATAGAAAGCACCCTAGGCATTTTGTTTTGTTTTTCTCTGTATTTCAATGAAACACAATCAGCAATTTGTAAGAAAATGGTCCTCTTCAATGAAATGATTGCCTTGACATTTTGTGCTGTATAATTTCAAAATTATACAACATTCTATGGACTATCGTCGCGGTAATTTGATTTTATGCTAAAACCAAGTTAGCTAAAATTCCTCATGCGAGTCTGGAAGCCCTTGCATTAACATTAATCACACAATAAACGAACAGTCTCAAGTGAATAAAATGCTAGGAACTGTTGTCGCTAAAAGACCAAAGATCAATAATAATATTCCAAAAGTATTGTCTTGATCAATGACAGTGATGATTCTTCACTAACAACAATTTAGCATAATTTCTATGCAAATACGTTTAAGTCGGTCAATTATTGTGTCTTCTAATCTAATAATAAGAATAAATTTGTAAAGACCTCAGTCGCAGTGGAATTATTTGAAATACCGGAAACCTCCTCAGAACTTGCCGTCAATAAGCTTGAAGTATCGCATGGAGTATCGCATGCATTTCCACTTGCATTGTGGAAGTTTTGGTTTGTTGTCCCTGATGTTCTCAACTTGTAATTTACTTTGAAGCATGATTAAGACACTTGACAAACGAAAGTGGAGAAGAATCATCTATTTTGTGGGAGTCATTCATCATTCCTCTTATTCTCCAAAACGACTTTTGACTGTTTGCAACTTGTATGGAAAATAAATGTGAATCTCTCAAGAGAATGTGAATATCTCAAGAGTTGAGGCGTTTTCCGTGTATTTTAGCCTGGTCCAAATAACGGAAATTACGCATTCTGACTGTTTGCAACTTGTTTGGAAAATAAATGTAAATTTGTTCTCTCAAGAGTTGAGACGTTTTTTTGCGTTTTTTTTGCTTGGTCCAAATAACGTGAATTACATGCATATATGTTGTTTTCTAATAATGTGGTTCAAATTCGCCTTTGGCAAGAATCGTACCTAAGGTCTCTTACTTACAAGTGAAGAGGAATATCACTAGACTGTAGTATTAAGTGGCAATAGCTGTTAAGATAGAACAATTTAACCAAATATTCAAATATGTTTGTCAAATTGGCAAGATTAGAAATAGAAAAACTTGGAAGCAATTGTAATTAATAAAAGGTTTGTGCAGATGGCATCTAACAGAACTTGCTTTCTTACAACTGATCAATCCAAATATCGTTAGGCAAAATAGGAAGAAAAATAAACGTAAAACCAAAATGAAATTAAAAATATAACGCAGAGCACCCATCTCAACATGTAAAGACATGATTGCCAAACCAGTTCAATTTCCAAAGCCAACCAAAAGAGAGAAGTAAATTGTATATTCCACATACATATTAACAATTTAGAGAGAGAGAAATTACAATGACAATAACATGAAAGCTTGGAAATTTTAAGAAATACACTTATATGAACCAATTCAATTTGTGCTTTCACAGTTGTTGAATAAAAGAGTAAGTTTAGATCATGCTGAAAATTGTAAATTATTACATCAATGGAGGTTTCATAAGTGGGCCTATGTAAAAAACACCAAAAGAGAGAGAAAATGCCACATTTTATTCTTCACAAAAGAAACAAATCACCAACCTGCAAACTGCAAACTGCAAACCACATTCACATTCCTCCCCATTCTTCAACAGAGCTGTCTCCAAAGGAATAATTCCAGTATTCCACCACCAAGCAGGGATCCATTACAATTTAGAAGCATCAAAACATAGCCATTCACAAACTAAAATGATTAACTTTTCATCATAATTCGAAAGAAAAAAATAAAACGAAAAAAATAGCTAAAAAGAAAAATACTCGAGAGCGTTGATGATTGATCCATGAATTTTCCTTAAAAACTTATGGACTTTCAATCATCACTGTTTCGACCCATATTTAACAGTTGGGCCTTGGACAGGCCCAACGTCTCACTTAACTCATGATTTTGTTGCTGGGTATTTAATATTTATTTTAGCAGAAATGAACAATAAACGGCCCAAAGATTTATAAACACTTTTGACGTGGCATAAATGGGCAGAAAGAGGATTACTCAACCGAGCTTTGCATAGGAAAAGTGCCTACAAAATCTGTAAATCCAAGAGGATCAGTTTGTTTACCTCCACTAGCCCTCACTGGACTGGACTGGATTAATAGTTAGTCCAGTCCCATGTTTGTGAGCAATGACTGCGTTTAATGGAATTATCCGGGACTCGCGTCGACTAAAACCTTCTTCGGTAGAAGGTCTCAGCCAAGAACCCCCAGAACGGGCGGACTGCTAATCCCGTCCTCTCCCTTGTCTTTCGCACCTTCGCCCTCTCGTCTTCTTCTTCCTCGCCTTCTCCTTCCTCGTCGCACCTTTGCCCTCTCGATCGTCTTCAGCTCCCTTGTCGGTTTTCAGCCGCGTACTCTGCGTTCGCTACCAAAGGCCTCCTCAAGTGGGCGGATTAGCACTGCGAGTGAAATATTGTCATCTGTTTGGTTGCTCAGGGCCTCACCGTTAGCGGCTCCAACTCCACATCCAGGCACCGGTCAAATTCGAACTCCCACCATCTCAGTTACGCTTCTCTTCCTCTCTCTCTTCAATCTCTTTCTCTCTCTACTCCCTAAACTCTTTCATCTATAAAATTCTCAAAATTCAACCTGCCTGATGAATTGATTGATGGTAATTTTGATTCAATTTCAAACTTGTGAAGTTGCAGCTCCAAAAAGGGCAGCAACGCCTTGCCCTGCAACTCCAGCTCCATCACCGACCACCTTCTTCAGCCTCCACCAACTTGTTAATCAGGTTTGTGTTAATCAGGTTTGATAAAATAATGTTAATCAAGATTTTATTAATTTTTGGATTAAAATTTGGCACTTGGAGTGGATTATGGAGGTAATTTTTGCTTCTTTGCTCAATGTACTTCAAAAGGCGTGTCGTCACTTTAGAAAGATGATCTGGTTTAGTGTTCTGGTCTTGATCTTAATGCATCATGCGTGTGCTGCTATTGCCCCAACTTTTTGAACCTCAACTTGCTTAACTAGTATGCAGTAAGTTTGGTCATAGACTAATGGATTCACAATTCATCTCTTATATATTGCATAAGAATATCTGGGTCGCGTTTTCTGTGAGGTTTTTAAACAATCTAGCTTATGTTTTATGTCATGCGGAATATATTTTTCTTAATTGAAGCTTGCTGAATGCTTGATTGCGTTGTTGACTGCAGAAGTCGCCGTGTGACCCATGCTTGACACACTGCTGCTTGCACTGGTGGCCCTTGTGCCATGAGCACATGGAGATGAAGGGATAAACCCCAAAGATGTTGGGTTTAGTCACACTACAGTATAGCACTGGTGAATTGAAGGTAAGATGCCTTAAAAATAAGTTATTTGAGTATTATAAAATCATACTTCTTCAGGTTTTTGTTATATGGAAAACATTACATATTTATGGCATCAACTTGTGTCCACCAGTGTTCTTTTTCTCAGCCGAGGAAAATTGTTAGAAATTGCAAAACTGTTGGGATCTTTTGCTACCCTGTTTGAGTTCCCACAAATGAATCACATTTTCTTGAATCTTGCTCATTGAGTGTTTGCAGCCAACCCTCTAATTGTCAATCTCTATTTATATTCAAACTTGTACTTCTATTCTTAATACATTCAATTTATCCTCATAAACTATTGCGGGAATTATAGTTCCCAGTGATTGATATTGTGAAACAACTCTGCTGCTGTACTAGTTTTGTTTTTCCTTCTCTTTTTTGTTTATAAAGTTAACAATTCTTAAAAAGATACAACCCCTCGTTTAAAGCCACTACTGCTTCTCAATGTCAAATCTTGTTTTTTCTAGCGGCCACAATTGGTGAAAGGAAATTTGCAACTGTTGTCCCCGTGGATTAAATTTTTATTTTTATTTTTTTTTCTTGCTGCAGCTGCGGCTCCACTGTTATTAACAGCCGTTAGCGGCGATTGTTAGTCGCTGGGAGAAGGTGAAATCTATTGCTGAGCTACCTCAACTCTCTTCAGAACACAAGGCAGCCAGCAAACCACTGAAAGCCAATTGCCGTATACACTCAAAATGTTTGCAGAGTGCAGGAAGTTATGGATTTTCTGAGTTCTGAAAGCGAATTGAGAGTGCTGCAAATCAGAAATGATGTTACACGAGGATGTGTCTTCGGGGCCAAGGAAGCGAAGGACAACACATTTTGTTGTGTAGTTATTTTTGTAAAGGCTGGTAGTATTGCATTCGTTTATTCTTTTTCCTCATTATTGCAATAAGAAGCCCAAGCTGAAGAGAAATAACAGGTTGAGTGATATGAATTAGGATTTGTTGTTGTAGGTTCTTCTTGGTTGTGTCTCATTTTTTGTCATCCATTTCAAATGAGCCCAAAAAGAAGGGACAAGAAATGGGAGTGTAAAGGAAAACTAGAACAAGAAAGAACACGTTCTAGTTTGGTTTTGTTGTTTCTTTGTTTTAGTTTGTAGTTAGAAGTTGAAATCTGGTTATAAGAATTGTGAGTGTAAAGGATAAGTGGCTTAAATTCACCTGTTATATTTTTTTTGGAATTGTTTCATTGATTTCTCAAATTTTTCCTAAGAATTGCTTATATTTAGCTTTGTACCTCGGTTCAGAATTGCTTAGGTTTCTGCTACTTTGGTGTTGGAATGAAGCAAATAGCATTTAATATTTTTTATACATCATTGGTTTTTTTTTTCTCTTCATTATCTTGCTTCTTAGTCTGACATTGCACCAAACGCTTCACTAAATCAGTCCAGCTTAGTCTATTCTAAGCTAGTCCAGCTTAGTCTTAGAAGTTAGTAGTCCAGTTCGAGATAGTCTGGTGTAATAAACATACCCCAAAAGTATTCAAGTGGGACAAACATTACATCAATCACTTGAATGAAAAGGAATGAACTGAGTTTGAATTACTTAATTCTGATGAAGAAAGTTTTTCTATAAAAGGTATAAAAATAGTAAAGAAAATGTCACTCCACTCAATACAAATTCAGTCATAAAAAAATTATAAATTAAACTCGTCATTCGCGTGCCGAATGTATCACCCAAATATCTTTTTAACTGAATAGTTTTTTACTTCCAACTAGAATTCTCCTTTTCAATTGAAATACGTAAGATTGAGGTCCTACCAAGACTCGCAAGGCACCTGACATTCTCGCTCCTTAAAAAAAAATTGAAATCGTTGATTAAACCAACATGGAGAACTCAATCCACAGATGACTCTTCCCTCCATTATCTCATTAGACTGTTCTTTCCCATTTTTACCCCCTCTTGTCAAGTCTCACTTTTATTTTACCAATTGAGCTCCTCATCTACTTTTTGTAGTATATGTATAAATGTATTTAGTATTTGACGAGTTCCTTTCAAATAGTTTTTTTTTTTTTTTTTTTTTTTTTTTTTTTTTTTTTTCCAACCATATCAGAATGACAGAAATGGGGTGGTGGATTCTCGAAACTAGCTGTAGTGAATGTTGATACCAAAGTCTAAGCATTGAGGTAAAACATCACTTACAAAGCCACAACTTATATGAAATGGGTTAAAAAGTCACGCAGCGTCTTGATCTATGAAACGAATGACATGTGTTGAAAAAAAATTACTTGTCATTCTTTGTGGAAAGAGACGTCATGATGGTAATGAACTCGTTCCATGTATTAGAGTACTAGATTTTCATCACCACATACATCAATTTCCTCGTCACAATCTTCAACATTTGAGTTTAAATCAGCAGTCCACAGATGAGATTGACCAAGCTTCTGCTTCATTGCAAGTTTTCCCTTTCAGTTTCAGAAAGAGTTGTCATTTTGGTTAAGTGAATGACGATAGGAACATGACTGAGGGCATTGAAGTTTAAAGCGGTAAAATAGGAAAGAGATGACCGATGAGATAATGGAGGGAAAAGTCATTCGTTGTTTGAGTTCTCCATGTTGATTTAATAAACAATTTCTATATATTTTTTATTTTTTTTTATTTTTAAAGAAGTTGTTCCGAGCTAGAATTGATGATGGGATAAAAAATACCAAATGCCTAGCGAGTCTTGTAAGCAATTATCATAGCCTCAAACTCATAATTTGGATCGTAATCTTTGGATTGAGGTCGGTGGTAGACTAAGATAACTTAGTGGTTAACTCACTCAATAAATTGTTAATTTTCTACGCCCCTCATATGAAGTCATGATAGAGAGCTCAGTGGTTGACTCCCCCAATAAATTGTTCATTTTCTATATGCCCCATATAAAGTCATGATTGCTATATATATTTAGTCTTTGTAGTGTGTTGATCTTTGGTCTTTGTAAAGTTATTACTCTAGTTTTTCCAAGGAATATAAAGTAAGACACTCTCAAGTTTGAAATACATGCAATAATGCATAACACCATTCACTTTGTTTTTTCTTTAGTCTATAACAATATTAGTTCACTCCGATTCAGCACATTACAGATTCCGAACCTATATCAAAAGAACAAAAAACTAAGATACATGAATTTTCTTTTCCTTTTTCCTACTTACATAAAACCAGCATGCATAGTCTTGTTGCATAGCCAACTGGGCATACGCCTCTTTGTGGATTGCAAGATTTGAAAGATTAAATACAATTAAAAATAAAAAATCAACCAAATCAAGGCAAAAAAATATGTAATTTTGCGTCAATATTTCAACTAGTAAAAGTATAGTCAATACCTGGCCACTTGCATTGAGCCAAGTCAAGCAGATATTGTGGGTTGGTTGGCCACTTTAACTTGCTTTTTCCATGTCATGTCACTGTTTTAGCTACAATTTGCTTCAACTAATTGTGTACGTATATTCGATGCAAGCTTGTTCGTGAAGTACTCATACATCCCCATATACTTGCACCTTCATTGTGCTCCCATCTTTTTTGATATTACATTCCATTAACAAACCCAAATAGTTGTGCTGCTTCTTGATTATTCAATCGCCTCTACGTTGATTTGAATATTAACATGCACTTTTATGCTTTGATTGCGGTGCTAATCTCATTACAACATTTCAACCCTTCTCTATCCCTTGGATTCGATGATAAAGTTTCTTCAGGAGAAGCACTTGGCCACGGTGATGCTTCTGGCGGAGTGGTGAGGTGCATAGAGAGGGAAAGGGAAGCACTCCTTGCTTTCAAACAAGGCCTCGTGGATGAAATACAACCAACTCACTTCTTGGGGATCTCCTTATTGTTGCACATGGGAAGGAGTTTTCTGCAGCAACCAAACCAAAGGTGATCATGTTATCAAACTTGATCTTCTACCATATGATTTGCAAGGTAAGACGATAAGCCCTAAACTGGTTGAGTTGCAGCATTTGAAATATTTGAGCCTCTATGGAATTGACTTCAATGGGAGCCAATTTCCAGATTTCATTGGTTCCCTATCCAATTTAAGATACCTCGATCTCTCTGACGCTTCTTTTGGTGGTCGAATTCCAAGTCAGCTTGGAAACCTTTCACACTTGCTACAACTCAATCTTGCCTACAACCACTTTGCTACTAATGTTGTGCAAAATCTCAATTTCTTGGCTCCCTCGTCTTTCTTCATTAACACACATTTGGATTTGAGTTACAACAGTCTCAATAACACTTATGACTGGCTCGAAGCAATCAATAAGCTCCCTAAGCTAAGAGACTTTTCATTAAGGGATTGTTCTCTTCATTCTCCTCCAATGCCTTCCACTCTCTTTACCATAAATTAAATTCTTTTAAATATCTTGCTCATGCTGATTTCAGTTTGAACCGTCTCACATCTTCTTCAATATTCGTATGGTTGTCAGCCTACAGTACAAGCCTTGTTTATCTTGACCTCATTGGCAACAATTTAACTGGTCTAATTCCTGGTGTTATTGGAAACATGACCTCGCTTTCCTATCTTGATCTCTCTTTTAACCAAATTGAAGGATGGAATCCGCATTCTTTTGCTAGGTTATGTAGTTTGCGATCGTTGGTCCTCAGGAGCAACAGACTGAGTGGACAATTTTTCCCAGTGGGTTCAAATATTATTATTAATGTCTGCATGCGCTCAAAAACTCATTAAAGTTTCTGGACCTCTCTTACAATCATCTTGTCGGGCCATTTCCTAATCTTATAAAGTTTTTGTCGTTGAAAGATTTAGATCTCTCTGGCAATCAAGTAAGTGGAATAATTCCTGAAACTATTGGGAAAATGTCTAAGCTCGAGAGTATCGACCTTAGTATGAATCATTTGGAAGGGGTGATTTCCGAAAGCCATTTCTCACGACTTGCCAGATTGAAATATTTGGATTTGTCCTTTAACTCTCTAGTTTTAAACTTCCATTCGGATTGGATTCCTCCTTTCCAATTGGATTATATAATACTAGGTTTCTTGCAAGGTAAGTCCAAATTTTCCACAATGGCTTTCAAACTCAGAACTTTTATTCTAGACTTGATATTTCAAATGCTGGAATTTTCGATATCCTTCCAAGTTGGTTTTAGGGAGGAATGTCTCCTAATTTGGCCTTCATGAATCTCTCACACAATCAAATTGGAGGACCAATACTTGCAAATTTGACATTGGAGTTTGCATATTACCCTCAATTACATTTGATTTCCAACAAATTGGAAGGTCCAATCCCCTCATTTCTATCACAAGCGTCATTCCTCGATCTCTCAAATAATAATTTTTCATCAAATAATAATTTTTTCCGGGCCGATTACTTGGTTGCGTGCACCTACCGCATCAAGTTTAACCTTTCTTAATCTTTCAAGTAACAATCTCTATGGACAACTTCCGATTTCTTGACATATTTGGACAATTTGGTCATGCTTGATTTGAGTTACAATGCTCTTCTTTCTGGAAAAATTCCTGCCACAATAGGCTCCTTATTTCGGATGGAAACGCTGAAGTTAAGAAGCAACAGGTTTTTGGGAGAATGGCCTTGCTCCACTTGCCAAGTTTATCAACGACAAAAGGACCGAAGAGGTAGATGTGCCTCTTCCTTCAACATCATTCCTAGCAGCACTGGAGCCACCAAGGCCATTGGAAAGTCAGGTTTGAGAAAGCTACAACATATG